GACAGCAGCAATCGATGCCTTCTCAAAATATCTGTGATGTATCAGCACCGTCCTTCGCTAGTAGTGGACGTCAGCAGCAATCAATGCCTTCTCAAAATATCTGTGATGTTTCAGCACCGTCCTTTGCTAGCATTGAATGCCAGCAGCAATCAATGCCTTCTCAAAATATCTGTGATGTATCAGCACCGTCCTTTGCTAGTATTGGACATCAACAGCAATCAATGCCTTCTCAGAATATTTGTGATGTATCGGCTCCGTCATTTGCTAGCAGTGAATGCCAGCAGCAATCGATGCCTTCTCAAAACATCTGTGATGTATCGGCACCGTCTTTTGCTAGCATTGAATGCCAGCAACAATCGATGCCTTCTCAAAATATCTGTGATGTATCGGCACCGTCCTTTGCTAGCAGTGGACGTCAGCAACAATCGATGCCTTCCCAGAATATTTGTGATGTATCGGCACCGTCCTTTGCTAGCATCGAATGCCAGCAACAATCGATGCCTTCTCAAAATATCTGTGATGTATCGGCACCGTCCTTTGCAAGCAGTGGGCGCGGAACAATGAATGACGAATGCTGTGCTCAAGAAGTGTCTTATAGTCAGTTTTTGGAGGAAATGAGTATGCCGTCTTTTGGTGGAGTGTCTGGAGCTTCAAGACCCAGGACTCCGACGCGACAGCAACAGCAATCGATGCCTTCTCAGAATATCTGTGATGTATCGGCACCGTCCTTTGCTAGTAGTGGACGCCAGCAGCAGTCGATGGCATCTCAGAATATCTGTGATATATCAGCCCCATCTTTTAATAGCAGTGGACGTTGTGCATCGAATAATGAATGCTTGGAAAATGTATCTATGCCATCAGGTGTTGGGGTATCGACATCATCCAGAAGGCAACGGACTTCAGTGGCCGAATGTTTGAACAATATTAGTGCACCGTCGTTTGGGCACAGCACGATGCGCACTCGGTCGCCACAACGTCGACAAAGGTCAAGGCAAAGCGATAGTGGAGAAAAATGTCAGACGACAACGACGACTTCTGAGATCATAGATGAAATAAGCATGCCTACCTGCGGCGAAGTATCGGGATCCTCAAAAGCGAAAACTCCAATACGTCAGAAGCGATCGATAACAACGAAGACTGTTTGTAAGAGCTCAACGCCAGCGTCTCGTCGTGGACGAATGAATAGTACGGCTGAATGTATTGAAAATACCAGCATGCCATCATGCCGAAGCTCTCTAGCTGCAAGAGGGCAAACTCCAAAACGAAAGCAGCAAATGATGACCTCTCAGAATATCTGTGATATCTCCGCCCCATCATTGGATAGCTGCGGAACTGGAGGACTGACAAATGAATGTTTGAATGATATATCAATGCCGTCATATGGTGCGCCCTCGGAGTGTTCAAGGCCAATCACTTGTACTTCCGAATGCTTGAACGATGTCAGTGCACCCTCCTTTGCACAGAGCATTTCCCGCGGACCTTCACAACGACAGCAAATGGCAGCCTCGAATGCCTGCAATTTGGGTACAGGAGACATGAGTAATGGCTACATAATGGATGTCAGTATGCCATCATTTGGTGGAATATCGGGTGCGTCTAGGCCGCGTACTCCCATCCAGCAGCAACAGCAGCGTTCGATACCCTCCCAAAATATCTGTGACATCTCTGCTGTATCATACGCAAGCAGTGGACGTGGAAATACAATGACCAATGAGTGCTTATACGACGTGAGCATGCCGTCGTTTGCGGAAGTATCTGGCTCATCGCGGCGACAGCAGACCATGCCGTCAGAGTGCCTGAACGATGTGAGCGCACCATCGTTCACTAGGTCTAGGTCGCCACAAGTCATGCAAAGATCTATCCAGAATCGTTCAGATCAATGTCAGCTGCAGGACATGAGCATGCCTTCATTCGCGGATGTATCGGGCGCCTCGAGAGCACGAACACTGAGCCGACAGCAGCGTTCGATGCGCGGTAGCCCAGGCACTAGGGAGTGTTTACAGGACGTTAGTATGCCCTCCTTTGGTGTATCTGGTGCTTCATGCGCTCACTGTCCGACAATGCAGTCCCAACAAATCTGTGACATATCGGCGCCTTCTTACAACAGCAGTGGATTCGGGACCATGACTTCCAGGAGTATGGGACGAAGTCAATCGCAGGGCCCCAATTCCCGAGTTCAGCAATCCCCGATAATGAATAACTCTTGCCGAGCACAAAGTGAATGCCTTCAAAACATAACAATGCCATCGTTTGCCAACATTTCCACAGTCAGTACTTCGAGTCGGCGAGAAATGCCAATGACTAGCGAGTGTCTGAGCAATGTGACACCGCCCTCCTTTGGTCGCAGTGGCAACACACAGGAGCTGTGGAACATTAGCGCACCGGTCTTTGAATCAACAGGCAATTTGCGCAGGCCACGCCCTGATCCGTCATACGAATGCGATGCTCTGGATGACGAGAGTGCTCCCAGCTTTGGGTTCAACAGTCAGGCCATGAAGAGTATATATCAGATACCGACAGCTAATTCGAGCAATTCTGTATACAGCGGCACGGCGGCACGACAAGTTCGTAGTTTTCCTTGCATCAGCCAACAAAATATCTGCGACATATCAGCGCCCTCAATGGCCAATAGCCGGCTGGACTGCTGTGATGGCCAACAGGACTCTAGAGGTCCGCACAGCATGCCTTACCCAACTGAATATTCAGGTAGCAACAAAAGTCGTTCCCAGTCGAAACAAGGCAGCCGATACACCAACTGCAACTTGGAAAATATTACAGAGCCATCGATGATGGCCAATAGCACGATGTATGGTCAAGTGGCTACGGATCGACTAAAGGAGGAAAGCCAATGTCTAGCGGATGTGAGCGCACCATCGGGAATGGAATCACAATTTTCGACTTTGTGCTCGAATGCGAATGGCATAAGTCGTTCGCAGTCCAAGCAAACCACCCGAGTCACCACCTGCACTTTGAACTGCGAGAACATCGAGAATATTACAGAGCCATCAATATTGGCCAATACCTCGAGATTCGGTAGGATTGTGTCTGAGCGATTAAGGGAAGCTAGTCAACATTTGGCGGATGTGAGCGCACCGTCGGGCATGGACTCGCATTACTCGAATGTGGAGTCAAATATTATGGATGTGAGTGAGCCATGTGAAATGTTTTGCAGCGATGTATGCGCTGTGGAGGGCAATGCCTCGGAACGGAGACAGCTTGACAAGAGCAATGCAAGAGCTACGAATTCATCGCCTAGTATGAAGAGAGGCGAGAGTAGTGCTCTATCCGGTCGGCGGAACAGTCAAGGTGAACAGTCGCCAAGCGATTGTACATGCCCAACTACGGCAGATGTAGAGGCTAAGAAGTCTTCGACTTCTGGACAAGGTGCAGCAGATGCGCAGGACAGCAAAAAACGGGACTCGAATGCGGGTAAGAAGAGCATTCACTCCATAAATGACATATCGATGCCAGAGTTCGAGAGTACAGCCATCAGTCAATCTCCTCCTGAATCGGCGATCTCGGACATCACTGCGCCCAGCTTTGGGCCGTCTCTTCAATCCACCAATAAGACGCAGGATGCAAGTGGCTCATACCACGGCTTTGATTCAATGGATAACTATGCACCTTTCGAAGAGCTTGTCAATTCGAGGCCAGAAAACTGTGAGCCGCCAACGCCTCAGCCGGTGCGTTCCAAGCCGAACGATTGCCCAGCTACTCCAAAATCGAAATCCAAAACTCCCCAAAAAGGTCATTGCACATGTGGCGTAAATGGGAATATGCGATCCAGTTCAAAACAGAGAAGTCGTAATACTAACCGATAGAGTTTATGTTAATGCACTCACAGAACGTGTTCATGGTCATGTTCATTCTGAGTCACATTCTCACGGTAAGGATTCCTGAAACACACAAATATTTATCAATTCATACATGTTTAGCCTGAAAAAATTAACAAAATTCGAGTATCAATAAAATGGAAGTGGAGTACAAAGATGCCGTTATAATTTTTTTTTTTTTAGTTAGTTGTTAGTAAACGAAAAATACTAGTAGAGCCTTGGCAATAGCCAATACACTATATTTGATATAAGATATACGATCTATACGATGTACGATATACGATAAACAGTATACAATATTCAATGTAGAATATACGATATATGATATCCGATAAACGATATATTATATGCTACCTACATATACGATATAGAATATATGATATGCGGTTCACGAAACGCAATACACGATATACGGTCTACGATGTACAGTATACAGTCGATATCGTAGCCATGACAGCAGACGATGTATACATCGTATGCATAATGATATTAGATGATATTAGACTCATTGTTGGCAATTAAGCGCCGATTCGAATCGCACCTTTTTCTATTATGTAAAACAATTTGGAATCCATTGTCCATGCGAACAATACACTGTGCCGTAGCGCAGCATAAAGTTAACTTCAGTTGTCAATAGCTGGAGCATATTGGAACAATTTGCGTGGCAAGCTGTGACACCTCGTTGGGGATAGGGATTGGGGCTTAGCCCGACTGCCGTAAGACAATTGTGAACGAATGCAAAATTATTCGAAGTAATTTCTACAAAATGGTAATAAAAACACGAGCTTCACGCTGCAAACCTGCCGAGCGAACGAAACAAAAACACACAGGCTAAAGAGTGAAATAAGTGAAAAAGAAGAGAAGAATTGAAGAAAAAACATAATAAAATTGAAAACAAATAAGTTCAGGAACCAGGAAGCGCCAACGGAAGAGCCAACGCTCATTGTTAGCTTTTGTCGGCGTTTGCCAGGCGTTTGGCTGTTGTTCTCGTTGTTGCAAATATACCCTGTTAAATGGGTAAGCAAGCTTAAAGGGTAGTATCAGTAGTAGTATGAGTATGTGAGAAAACAAAAGAGAGAGAGAGAGAGAGAATGTAGAGCAACTGCTAGACGGAGCTTATGGGAGTACCATGTTCAGGTAGCAAAGCCTAATAGATAACAGAATTTCCGACGAAATTTAGGCAGCTGGGGAATTTGGAATTCCCACATTGAGTGAATTCTGATTAGAATTTAATATAATAATAGGTGTATGAAAGGAAAGGTGAGGGATATTTTAGAGGCGATGCTGCTCGACTCTAGTGCAACGGCTTCTTCTTTTTTTACTGTTCGACTAGCGGCATGATGGAGAGAAGGGTAAGCTCACACACACACACACACACACACACACATACATAGAACTTTGAGCCCCGGGAGCGCTTGCACCGTTGTGAGAGCTATTTAAAAACAATTTATTTTTAACAACTGCCATGCCAGAGGCAAAATCAACCTGTCGCGGTGCCTGTGTATGATGTGTGGTATGTACAGGGTGTGTGTGTGTGTGTGTGTGTGTGAGTGAGTGGGTGTGTCCATGTGTGTGTGTGTGTTGTATTTGTTCTTGATTTTCAGCTAAAAAACATACGACTATAAAAAAGAGGAGAAAGAGAGCGCATGAGACAGAGAGAGAGAGAAAAGAGAGAAGGGAAAAGCGAATGTGAAGCGTCGCGTCGTTTGGCGTCTGTCAGTCAGGTATGCAAAACATGAAGTGCAGATGCTTCAGATTGGTTTTCCAATTACTCAACATTTCAATGCAAATAACACAGAGCCACGGCGACGGTTAACGCCAACGTTGAGGAATTTAAAAGTCAAACACACACACCGCCCCTAGCATATGTGTGTGTGTGTGTGTGTTAGATGGGGCAGCTGCGGCAGCCAAAGCCCAATTCACATACATATTTCTTCGATTTTTTACCAAAGATAAAATTTCAATCACGTTTCTTCACTTTTGCTTAACATAGGTATATTCATTTCTCTCCCTATGTATGAGTGTGTCTATGTGTGTGCGTGTGTGTGTGTGTTGCCAAAGGTGTAGCAAACAACAACAACGACATCTGCTACCCAGTCTAGGCTAAAAAAAAGTCTGTGACATGGCGCAAGCAGAAAAAAAGAATTTGTTGATTTGTGTCGTGTTTCTTAAGCGGAAAAGACATTAAGCGCAGCTTGAATGCTTTAAGCATATATCTAAATGATGTGCAGGGTGTTGTTTGAGAAGAAAAAAGGACCTCGGGAAAGTTAGTAGAACGATTTAATTAATAGATTAAATATTAATATATAGGGCTATACACAAATGCATTCATATTCAAAATGAAAGCTTGGGTTTAGAGTAGAAGGCATAAATATTCTTGATCAGAACAATGGGATGGGATGATCTAACTATCCGTCTGTGATCTACTCATTCTATCCATTCCTCCGACCATCATTTATCCATTCTTCCGTATATCCTTCCGTCTGTCTTTCTATTTATTCGTCCGAAAACCATCCTCCCGCCTGGCCGTTAGGGTATTCCTCCGTCTGTCTCCCAGTTGATCCGTACGTATATCCACTCTCCCGTTTATCCCTTAGTCAATCCTCTCCGCTTATCCGTCCGTCTATCCATTTTATCCCCTCTGTGCGTTAGTCTATCCTTCCCTTTGTCTCCCTACACATCCATTCACCTATCCATTCTCCCATATAACCCTTAGCCTGTCCTTCCGTTCATCCGTCTGTCTCCGCGTTCGTCCGCCCTTCCAGCTTAAGCTTCGACAACGAGCTTAATATCTCATCATATTTTTAATAACAATTACGAGTCTCGACATTTTTTACGAAAAGCACTGTAAAGGCAACTCAGGGTCGATCGTCGGAATTCCCATAATAAGCCACACTTGAGTTTATAGAGCTGACCCAAATATGCTGCCGAATGCCAGCTTGTGCATAAAGCACACAGCATTTATATAAAATGCCTTTTGTTTGAGCGAGAGATAACAAGAGTGAGTGTGTGTGAGAGAGAAAGAGAAAGAGAGAGAGAGAGACAGAGAGAGAGAGGGGAAAAGTGGCTCTGGCCTGGCTTTGGCAATTAGAAAACAAAATATTTGTGGCGCAGATAGTCAACACCAATTTGTTTGGTAGCATGGCAACCAGAAGGGCAGTAGGTGGTGTGTGTGTGTGTGAGTGTGGGAAGAATGCAGTTGTGTGCATGTGTGTGTGTGTGTGTGTTTACGGGCAAAGCCTGTAACCTAAGGCTCTTACCTTTTATCATGCACATCATGGACTGATTTACGTGGCGCATTTATTGCAAGGGCAGCCACTAAAAGTTTTTAAATTACAATTTACAGTTTCTGTTTTCATGTGTGTGGGTGTGTGCGTGTGTGCGTGTGTGTATATGTATACATTTAGTTGCTGTACTCATTGTTTTTAGCATTCAAGTGGCAGTTAAAATGGCTTCAGCCTCAATTGCTGCATCCGACTGCATCCGTGAGCTCTGCTCCCCATTGCCTCGTATTCTTGCTCTCTCTCTCTCTCTCTCTCTCTCTCTCTGCCCCTCTTGCTCTGTGATTCCCCCTTGCGGTTCTCTGTTTTCCAGCTTCTTGATCCGCGCCCTTGTCCGTTGCATTAGGAAAGTTGACGTGACGCTGTGAGCGATTTATTGTTTTTGTGTAGAAAGCGTAAAATGGAACAAATTTTGCACACACACACACACACACACACATACACAAGCACACTATGTGTGCCACGCCCGCTTGTAGGCGCTGCAGCTCAAAATCTCAGCAAGACTCCTACTCTGTCCAGGCAATGCAGTTCACTAGCAGCAGCTGCTGCTGCCACTACAGCTGCCACGCCCCCACACGCCGCCCCTCGACTAGGCAGTTAATTGTAATGCTGCAAAAATGCTGTCAAAGTTATGCGAGTGCGAAAATGTCCACAGGCACATGCCATAGCATTGCATCGGCTAACAGCCTCCGTTAGCCACTTGATGAAGCTGCCAACTCGTTTCCATTTCCCCTCTTCTTCTTCTTGTTTTTCTGTTTTTTGCTTTGTTTTTAGCACTCTCTGCTCGTGTCCCGCTGCTGGAGCCACGTTTTCCGCAGCTATAAGCTACATTTGAGTGCTGCCAGCATGTTTCCAATTGAGTTTTGGGTAGTTTCTTATTGCCTGAAGAAGGGTATATTGGCTTTCTGAGAATTGTTCACAGCTGTATCCCGGGGAGTAAATAAAGATAGTGATGTGTATATGATTAGAGTTGATTAATGATTTATGTTAGCTTCATAATCCTCTGATGATTTGTAGATTCATATAAAGTAATTTCGTCTCGAATCTCAATTGAAAGGAACGATACATTTGCATGGTCTCTAGTCTTCGCTTCTGATATAAGTATGAAGAGTCTCAAAGGGACTTTATGCGTATACATGTACATTTGTTAACATTGAATAGTTATCATTAAAAGGCAACGAGGCGATCGATGATATGTGTGTATATAATTCGTGAGACATA